CTGTCTGTCTGTCTGTCTGTCTGTCTGTCTGTCTGTCTGTCTGTCTGTCTGTCTGCTCTTGCGTCTTGGAGTCTGTCTAGAGGTCATTTTATTTTACCCCAATTTTGTTTAAATCTCTCGGTTTTTTGTAGAGGATTTGTAGCTCACGTTAATGTATGCCTAGTATGCTGATGAGGTTTGCATAAATTACTGAAAGGGCGTTTTTCGCCATTTGCTTTCTCCATCTTGATTCCCTTGAAAGTCATAGTATGACTAATGATTTTTCCGTAATTACCCACGACTTTCGGTATTTAATCTTCTATTAAGGTATCACACAAATTGTCGTCGCTGAGATTTAATCTGTTAACACTGACCTTCATTAAGCACGGGTATATCTACGTTCTATTAACACGATCTATCTCTGAATTCAGTTACAAGTTAGCTAGTCTAGGAGAATTTTAAGCTATTCAAAGTGGGGTTTTTTGGTGTTAATCTTTGCTTTTTACCCACAACTGTGCGTATTCTGGTAATTAAAAAAGCTCATGCTCGTTAAAAAAAGAGAAGGAAAAGAGAAGAAGAAAAAAACAAAACAATAATTACTTGGGTTGACGTATGTTTGTCAGTGTGTGGGTGTACGTGTCTATCGAATATTTGCGTCTTCCTGATGAAGTCAGGCGTTCATCAAAAAAAATAATGAAAACAAAGAATTCGACATTTTTCCGCCTGTAGGGCAGTTTTTCTCGATTTCTGTCTTTTTATTTTTTGCTTTTGCTTTGGGTCACTCGAGGAGGGGAGGGGGTATTGCTCCGCTTCTTTTATGCCCACTTAAAAACACATAAATCTGTTTTGTCTGTATGGACTTTTACTGACAACGTTGATTAAAAAAAAAAAACACGAAAAAAATATCTGTAAATTTGCATTTTTCCAAGGACACTCAAGCTGTAGAAGTCACGAAATGTTGGCGGCCATAATTTTCTCGCTCGTTTTACTTCTGGCACCAGGCCACCAACACTTCCTTCTGTAGCAAATATCTCCACTTTTATTCAAAATGCATGCTTTTTAACTTTTTAAACTTTTTTTTTTTTTTTTTTTGGGGGGGGGGGGGTTCTTTAAAACTTAAGCAAATGTACAAGCATTAAGGCGATACCAATAACTTCGATATGTTCAAAGACTGACCAGTTTTACAACGCCAGGTCATGGCGCACTAGAAAATCGCTACCCCAGAATTACAAAATTCTATCCGCTCAGTACCACGTTTTGAGAAATTGGACGTAAAAACGTTTGAGTTTTGCAGCATATCAACCTTTTTTTTAAAGCAATTCTTTGAATATCTTGATAATTGCTCCGAATAATCTTTCGATTTTGATAGCAAAGATAAACCATTAAATTGGTTTCTGACCTCATGGTCTTAGTAACTCAGCACGTCCAAAAATGTCAGATATAACTTTGTAATTCTCAGATAACCGTTATTATTTTGGTTGGCGTGCATTGCCAGTGCATTGGATGGACGGCTTACGTTTGTACTGAATAAGATCACAACGGCAAATGCAGAAACGCTTTGGATTAGTTAGAATGGATTGGTGGACGGTTATATTACTTTGTTTTGATAGGATTATATATCAAGGTTGCCCTCTCTTTGCCCTGGCATTGGCAGCGACATAAGACTTGAAATACAGTCATTATAACGGATGAGTGATATTATGTTAAGCGGCTCCGACGATGTTAAGAGGACTGGTTAGTAATTAGTTATTAATTGAGTTGATACCTATTTATAAGGGTAATTTATTATTCTCTTTACATCGTAGAATGACCGCCCACCCCCGGCGTCTGTGGTGTAGTGGTTAGACGCTTCGCTGTCACATGCAGGAGACCGGAGTTCGATTCCCGTGGGTGGGGAAAACAATGATTTTTATTTTTTTTAAAGAGTATCGTGATCTTTGGTCTGGGATGTTATATATCCCTCTCAGACCAGGTTGGCCCCAACAGGCAACGTCGGAAGCCCGCCTCCTAAATATTTAAATTCTGTCCATTGGGTGGGGGGAAAAATTGTACATTTAAAAAAAAAATTGCTCACCCTTTTATATTATAGTACCGATACATAGATCTGGCTCTTTTTCATAGAGAATTTTAGTCTTACTTCTTATTGTCACAATGTCATGTCAAAAATGTATGTATCCTCAAAGATAGTTTGTTTTAGTTTTAGTAGAGGTTTTACGGCGCTCGCAACTGCATAAGATCATAATTATGAGCGCCAGCAGATTAGAGGTGTTACAAGAGAGTAACAAACATAAAAGAAAAGAAGAAGGGGAGATAAGGACGATAGATGTTCGATAGGAAAGAAGAAGCAAACCACACCAGAGCACCCGCCAACCTCCCACCCACATCCTCAAAGAGTGAACCCCGAGATTGCGGAATTATGATGGTATTATTTTAGTGTCCTCCAAAGTATCATTTATTCGATCGCTGCAGGCAGGGCAGAGAGAGAGAGGAGGAACCCTCAGTGGGTTGATGGGCGTCCTTACGTAAGCGTCTCTCCAGCTATATTTGGCGTGCGTAAACTTTGGATTGCTCTTTATGCTCACGAGATTGATACATCAAGACAGAAATACTTCATTATTTCATTGCCTCGCGCCATGTACCGTCTCCATCGGGTTTGGAGGAATGTTTTGTTTGTTTCTTGGGGTTTTTTTTTCTTCTTTTTTCTTTCTTTCTGTCTTTCTTTTTGCTTTTTGTCTGGATTATTAAATGCATTCTTTACGGCTTTATTTTAGACTCTTGCTTCCTGCTCTCGAAACAGCAGGGAGG